GGGGGGAGAAAGCTTGTGAGAGACATCCACACACTTCTCTGCACCTGCTGGGAAGAAAGCCACATACCCGGATCTGAAAAATGCAAACATAATTTCTTCATACAAAAATAAAGGGGACAGAACAGACTGCAACAACTACCCAGGGATATCTCTGCTCAGCATGGTGGGCAAGGTGCTTGTAAGGGTCCTGCTGAAAAGACTCCAAGTCCTTGCTGAGAGAGTTTATCCTGAGAGCCAGTGTGGGTTCAGAGCAGGACATTCTACGACTTGTCTATGTGTCCTTCACAATGCACTTGTTGCAAGAAAAAAGCTGTGAACACCAGGCACCTCTCTATGTAGTATTCGTTGACCTACAAAAGGCTATCGACACGATTAGCAGGAATGGCACGTACACGATCCTGTCGAAAATTGGCCGTCTACAAAAAGTGCTCTCCCTATTTAAGGAGTTCCATGAGGGAATGAAGGCAACTATCCAGTATGAAAATGAAACATCGTCTGAGTTTAGTTTAAGGGTGTGTCTTAGTGTCTACTGACTTTGGCATCTTCTTCTTCTTTATTCTTCTTCAGTATGCTTTTGGAAATGACCAATCTGACACACTAATTGAATCGAGGACGGACGGCAGCTTGTTCAACATCAGACAATTTCAGAGCAAAAGGCATATCACCCAGCGCACTATTGGGATCTGCTCTTTGCAGATGATGCTGCATTCATCTCTAACTCACCTGGTGAACTGCAGATCATGATGTATAAGTTCACTGATGTATGTATCAAGTTTGGCACGGTCATCAGTAGCAAGAAAACAGTTGTCATGTCACAGGGCACCAACATCCCACCTAAAATCTATGTCAGTAATGAAACTCTGGACAACTTGGATCACTTCTTGCTATCGTGGCTCAGCTTTAACCAGCTCAGTGAGCCTTGAAAGAGAACTTCATACAAGAATCGGCAAAGCCTGTCACCTTTGGAAAACTCACCTCACGTGTCTGAAACAACAAGCTGCTAACCCTGAACACGAAGGTGTCCATTTATCAGGCTTGTGTCCTCAATACCCTACTTTATGACTGTGAGAGCTGGGTTAGGTACTCCAAGCAGAAGCGGAGATTGAACAGCTTCCACCTTTGCTGTCCCTTGGAGTCACTTGGGACCCATGGATCACTAACAACAAGATCCTTGAGAGAACCAGCCTACAGTCTCTGCAGACCATGATGGACACTCGCAGGCTTCACTGGCTAGGACACGTGGAGCGTATGCCTCAAGATTCTGTGGAAGGCTGTGCTTTATGGCCAACTCAAGAACTACCCGCAGCACAGAGAAAGGCCATAGCTCTGATACAGCAACAAGGTCAAGCAAGGTCTCAAGAAATTCAGCATTCCCACTGACAGCTGGGAGAAGACTGGAGAAGCTGGGTCAAGGCAGGTGCAGTCATCGTGGAGAACCATCAGAGAGCCCAGGCTGAGGCCCACAGGTGAGCCAGAAAGAGTGTGCTCCAACCTCCATCTGCCGAGTGGATCTGGTGCCACTGTGGGAAAGTCTGCCGCTTGTGCATTGGGTTCTTCTCCCACACCACTGTCAAGCACCATTGACTGACTGACTTTGTCGTGTTTCCTTTCATCTTTCAAGTTTCTTGAATGGCCACACGATACATTTCCAAGTACAATAGGTGGCATCCCCTCAGTTTTTCTCACAAAACCAATCACTGCAGAGGGGACAAAGCCAGGATCCCCAGACCTGGTGAACTAACAGGTTAAGTGGACCTTGGATCCACCCTGGAAAGGTTCCCTTTCTCTCAGCATCTCCCACCCTGAACAGACACTCCCTCTTGTACCTTTGTCTTCATCCCACTCAAATCTTTGCTTTACAGCCCGAGCGAGGCAGCCAACTGACAGCCATCAGCTGTGTGTTGCATTGCTGCCTGCTACTCTGACTGTGCGACACAGAGCAAAGCTTCAAGGTAGCAGAAAATCACTGCCTGCACTTTTTGCAAAGCACTTTGGGGTAGACAGAGTGTCAGGGACACTACATAAGACCATATCCTGTTTTATATTTTTCCATCTTGATGGGATTACCAGCTTCTGCTATGAATGGCTGAAAAGCCGCTAAATATCATTTAAGATTTTGGCACCAATCCAATGAGGCAGTAGTTTTATTTATTTTTCTGTGGGATGTTTGTTTTTTTAATTTGCCTATTTTCAGTTTTAGTTTTTAACCACCAGATTAATAGAAAAAATGTAGAGCAATCATTCAGTATCCAAAAGGGCTTGCAGTGCACTCATTGTGACAGAGTTCTCGCCTATTGAGGACAGTGTCAGGTTCCCTCAAAGGCAGTTTGGCAAAGATCTCTTCAATCTTTTCTTCATGGACAACAAGGAAGTATATTCATAGAATTCCAAGGCATCCCAGATGAAAAGGGAGGGAATTAATGCAGAAGGCCCTGCATCACAGATGACTTTATTGAAAGCAGACACAATTGTTTCCATATGGATTTCAGAAAGGTATCCTCCTCCTCAGTTTAAATCACTCCTCCAGCCCTCAAACAAACAAAAATCCTGCCCACTGCTGGGATTTATCTGCCTCCTGAGTCACTGGTGAATTCATAACCAATCACATGGAGAGCCACACAGAGCCAACACTGCAGCACACCTTTCCCATATGAATCCCCATGGTCAAATGAACCTAGTAAACTCAGAGAGAGCACTGGTGTGGCCCTACTCTGAAGGCCCTTGTTCATAAGGGCAAGAAAAATAACTGCAAACTGGGATTATTTAACCTAGGAAGGAGAGGTGGGGCAGGGTACCAGACTGGTCACATGATTGGTCTGAACTGTCATGGCGGATCCTATGTTCTGATCACCCTGATGAAGCTCATCTTACGATAGCTTCTAAACTGAAATACCAATAAATGCTTTTTGTGCTGAAAATGGAGGACAATTTCTATCCCAGCCTCCTGCGGCAGTAACCCCCCACCCCTACCTCCACAGATGGCAGGGGGTTTAGGATATACCCTGAAGTTCCTTAGAACATGTAACCACAGCTTCCAAACCCAGCAGTTCTGGAGCTCTAGGAGAAAGTGTCGGCATCAGTTCAGTGTTCCTGTTCCTTCACAGTGCTGGGTTGACCCCTGGCCTTACTCAGTGGCATGCTGCACCTGTGCAAACCCCCCTCTCCCAAATCTTCCAGCCCCCAGCTACTCACATGAGTGAAGAACACGCATCAGACCCTTTACCTTTTAGAACCAGGCTCTACTTTTATTAGTCTCAGCCTCAGTTAGGGTGAGTGTCCCCTGGAGCTTCCTGCTCCACAATGCTCCCAAATGACAACTCGTACATGGAGGAGCCATAAACGTGAAACAAGCTGAGCCCCCGGGAGCATAGTTTCTGCCTGCAAGTCCATTGTCAGCTCTGACCACCTCCTCATGCAGCGCCCAGCCTCACCATTCTGGAACCCTGCCTTGTCTCAGCAATGTGGCTGGTTGCTTGTCATGGCAAAAAATAGGGGAAAGCATCATTTTAGAAGGGGGGAGTTAATAAAAGGCTAAGATCGAGGCTCATGGGATTATAATGACTATTATAATTAGCTGTGTGAGAGGTCAAACATCCTTTATTATGGATGATCCATACCTAATAGTGTAAAAAAAAACAGTGCCACAGTACTATAAAGTACTGTGCAAATTCCTCGGGGGGGCTTGCTTGGTACTGAGCGGCGCAGCAGGACAAAACAATGCCATTTGACTGAAAACAGAAACTAGAAGTGTTGGTTGTCATGAAGGTCCTGGCTGAAACACACAGCCAGCTTAGTACCCAGTGCTGCTAACACTTACACATAGGGATGACTCTAGTTGTGTGAATCGTCCCATTGAAGTCAGTGAAACTCCTCAGGGAGACTGCTCTCACCTAACTGTAGTTGAGACTCTGATACAAAAAGAGACAGGTTCCAAAGGTCCAATGCTCCACTCTCTTCATGTGACTGGGAGGGAGCAAGAGGACATGGGTAAAGGGGCACAGAAGGGGAAGTCTCATTGTAGTCATTGAGACTACTCACATGAGTAAAGTTACTCACTTTTGTAAGGGATGGCAGGATCTGGCCCTCCATTATGAATGATCCAGATGGGAAAGTTCTGCATCTTTTTCAATTTTGCACTTTTTATGCAGTCAAATTACCATTTTTTTGTGAATCTGTGATGAAAATGGTATGTCATAGGTGTGAAAACAGACAAAACACAACGATAGAACATTCCACCACAGGAATTCTGTATTTTAACCTGGCTCTAAGTTTGCCCCGTCCTTTCAACTAGGCACATCAGATTGGGAGAAAGAAAAAGAGGATTAGGGGGGGTTCTGATTGGAAGTCTAGAGAGGGAAAAGCCAGCAAACTAGTTGATTGAGTGACCTTAGGAATTTCATTTTAGATTTCTTTTCCCACTCCTTTCATCAATTTGTACAGACTGATGATAATGGTAGCAGAGTTCCACTATTCACTATCCAGGCTCATTATCCGCCCCCTTTGAGTCTGTGTAGCCAACAATTATTCAGTTCATTATTTATTACTATTTCACTAGAGATTGCATAGTTTATTTCTTTATACACTTATTTTTTTAAAAAACCCTCTCTGCTCAAATGCTCCCTGTTTCACCTAGCTGACCAACAGAGCAAACTGACGCAAGCATGCTTCTGAATAACCAGACAGATCAGACTAGCGTTATCCACTGACCTCTGGGGAATTGTATTTCAAAGTCTCTTTGCAGTTTCTTGACTGCCCAGCCATAATATTATAAAGAATGAATCCAGACAACACTTATTTAATAGGGGGCAGATGAGCTTCTTGTTTGCCTACCTGTGCACCAAACCGTCTGAACAGGTCTAAGCCCAATTTTCTCAGTACCATCTTGGACAATGAAATGACTGCCAGGCTGATTCTATGACTATCCTGAATGGCTAATACTTCTTAACAGCCCAAACACCTTTTTACACCACGAGCTTTGCAGTAAAGCACGTAAATCATACCATATCTTTGCAATGCAGGCAGAGGGGCTCCTCCTCTTCTCCCTTAGCCACCTTCTATGTTCATCTCCTGCAGAAGACACTGCACACTGTAGTCTTGTCCTTTGCAGAAACTAAATCCTGTGGTTCTTAGGCATAGTCCATTTGTAGGGCTTTTGCACTGGGTTTGCAGGAGAAACCACTAAAAAAATAAAAATATTTCAGCTACTAATCAACGTCTCTCCCCATTTTTATCTCCTTTTTAATTACAACCAGATGTTGTCACTCCAGGGTGCCTATCCCAACCAATATGCGCGGCTCAGCTGAGGCTCTTTGCAATTTCAACCTCCTGATCATTATTCCAAAGGGTGTTTAGTTTTCATAAATCCTTGCTGGTAAGTTGTCATCAAACTTTACAGAAGGGTCCAGTGTGTGTTATTTTTTTCCTTGCTGGAACTGTTCTTAGCCGTGTGCGGGACGGGTGCACAAGTGTGAGGAGTATAATCTGGTACTATGGGCCCAAATGCGCTTCAGCAGCTAGTGCATATCCAGTGTACAACTGGCAAACTTCAACTGCTAGTTTTAAAGTGTGTAGCAGCCCAGCAGCCCAGACCCACCTCCCTGTGGGGAGGGGAGAAGAGAAGGGGGGGTGGAATGCCAGTTAATTTGAAGAGGCTCTTTTCACAATAAAAGCCCTGCCTGCTTTCTTAAACACTGAGGGTTGCATTTAGCCACAAAACACAGGTAAAGAAAAGCTAAAAGAAATGAGCTACCCTGGCCTTCTGTGGCACTGACCATAGGAAACACATTGCGGGATTGTATTTATCTTGGAGGATCAATAGCAGACTAGTGAAAGCAAACAGTCACTAACTGCAGAGATGCTTGAGAAGAAATCCTTTGCTTTTTATACTA